GTCTAAATGTTTTCAAAGATAAAAACATTGATTTGTTTGAACAAATGTGATCTGATGCTCCCGAATCGATTATCCATGATGTAGATTCTTGGCTATTAGAATCAATTACATTAAAAATGTAAGAAACATGCTTGCCATAAGAGTCAACAAAATTACCTGCAGTATCCATAGCTCCATCATTAATAACAAAGTTGACCCTTATTGACACTATTATTGAGAAGTTGCATCAACTGTTTGTACTGTTTAGGAGTGATAGATTGAGAGCTAGAAAAAAGTGTAGATGGAGCACATGATGAAGATAGATCATTCACATTATGAATTGTAGACTCAACTTTCTTTGTCTTACTGAATTTAAAATCTGCAGGAAAACCATTTAGTTTATAGCATTGAGACTTAACATGACTTGTCTTTCTACAATGAGTTCATTGTAACTATTTCTTATGTGAATTATGAGAATTGTTAACATTCATAGCCATTGCTTCAGACACAATAGTAGGGCTAGTATTGATATCACGTTGTCTTTCTTCATGAATCAACAAGGAATGAACAGTAGCAATGCTAGGAAGGGGATTCATCATTAAGATCTGACCTCGAATGGACTTGTATGAATCATTAAGCCCCATTAGTAATTGAATTAGTCTTTGTTCTTGTAGAAATTTGTTAATCTTTGCAGCAGAACCACATGAACAATTTGGAACTTCATGTATCATCTTGAGTTCATCCCGAGCTCGCTTGATCTTAGTGAAATAAGATGGAAAATCATTCGATCCGTGACTGTTTGAGAATAATTGTTTAGGAATTTGATATATCAGTGCTCCATTAGATTGCTCATATCTTTGAATTAGTTATGACCAAATCTCTTTAGCAGTTTGTAAGAAAAGAACACTTTCAGCAATATCTTTTGATAACGAATTCAACAGCCAACTTATAACCATTGAGTTGACTCTGTTCCAATTTTGAAACAGTGCAGAAGCTTCATCTGGTTGAGCTTGAGATCCATCAAAAAATCCAAGTTTATTCTTGGCTAAATGTGTGAGAATCATCAATCTCTTCCACATCGAAAAACCAGATCCATCAAAAAATTTTGAAACTAAAATTGTGCTAGGATTATCCGAAGGTCCTAGAAACAACATATTAGAAACTTCAATCGTTCCAGATGGAGATGAATTTGTAGATGAAGATGAATTTGTAGACATGATGCATAATTAGATCAAAAAACAATATCGATCTAATGAAAAAGAAAAAAAATGAAACAGATTGAAGAACAAGAATCAATATGTGATTTGAATCAAAAAAATATGTAGATTAAAGAACAAAAATCAATCTACAGTATGAAGAACGAAGAACGCATGATCGTATTTTCCATCTCCGATACCATGTAGAAGTTCAAGATTTGGAAAGAATTTCTCATCTCATTAATTCATCTGAACAACCAAATACAATTTATGTACATCAAGTAAAACAACTAATTAACTTAACTCTGATCAACTAACTAAACTATAGCTAACAAACAACTAACTCTCTAATAGAAAGTCAAATATAGTCAAGAAGTCAACGTTGACTAACTTCATCTTCTCCGATACCACTTCATTGTTTTTAACGGTTGGTTGTAGTGGAGGTAGTAGAACTCTTCTTTGATTTCACATCATTGTTTTTACTGTGGATGAACCATTTTTGTATATGGAGCTATGCATCATGAATGTGATGCAGTTTCACACTTTGTTTTTTTTGGAACTTCAAAAGATTTTTAGTGGTCTTCCTCTCCGAGGCATTTAGGGATTTTGGATAAAAAGAAAATGGGTTGGCTAAAAAGACATCTTATTTTTTCATATAAACACCCTATTTGATTTTTAGTGTAAATTACTAAAATCGTTCCTATGGTTTGGTCAAAATTGCACGTTTGGTCCTTAACTTTTTTTTTTTTTGCATTCGGATCGTCCTTGTTTGATTTTGTTGCATTTTTCGTCTCTTATATACATAAAGTTAGGGACCAAAAATGCAATTTTGACCAAACCATAGGACGAAAAACGCAAAAAAAAAAAAAAATCATATTATAGGGACGATCCGAATGCAAAAAAAAGTTAGGGACTAAACGTAGAATTTTAACTAAACCATAGGGATGATTTCAGTAATTTACTCGATTTTTAATATTGTTTTATTGGTTGAATTTATATTGTTTTTCAGAAAAATAAATTATAAACAGTTTATGATAGGTTGACTTTTAATAAAAATGTTCATAAGGTGTCTAAGGTGTGTCTTAATAGCAACATCCAAAAGAAATTAATCACAATTAAAGGGAAATTAATGGATTTTTCATGATTAATGTTTCATCAACCGTTGTTCCATCATCTTCGCTCAATCCAAACGCTTTGGGAGGAAGCATAAAATTCTGATTTTCATTGTGATGATGATGTTTTTATCAGCCACATTGGAGACGCTAGGGTTCTCACTTCAATAAGTGTTTTAAATAGGAGAGCTATTATTTATTAATTATTATTATCATACTCACTCCATTATTATATTTTAGGTAATAAGATAACAATCTGACAATGTTATCTGTGAAAAAGTTTTTTTTTCTCTTTTATTATTAGGTAAATTAATAATTATCAAGGTTTTAAATAAAGTAAAACGTGATTTGATGGCAATGTTAAGCATCAAGCTTTTCCGAGCCATGGCGAACTATATCGTTTGTAAGGTGTGAGTTAAGGCGGCAATTTTGTATATAAATCATATTTTTATATGTATTTTCAATTATTATTTATTTTTATACACATATACAAGTCAAGGCGGCGTTATTGTTAAGTTTGGCGGCACATACAAGCCTTGGAGCCATGGCATGCTATGATGGAGTCAAGACGAGCTTTTTAAAACCTTAATAATTATTGTATTGTTTAGGTCAATGTAATAGTTATTTTAATATTTATTTAAATATATTATTTTATTTATATCATTTATTTTTATTTATTATTTTTTTTATTTATGATTTGAAATTTATAATAATTTATTAACATTTTATTCATTTATATTATAGAATATTCAATATTGTAGATTTTTTTCTATTTTTTTATAATGATGTCATAAATATAAGCTAATAAAACATTGAAAATATATTCAAACACCAAACATTTTTTGTTTAAATTTATTGTTTAACAAAGATTCAAAGATTTTTTTAACTATACAAAAAAAATAAAAATTTAAAGATTTTTTGATTATACAAACAAACAAAACGACATATATTTTTTTAAAAACAAAAAGTCATTTTTTTTAAATTCACCGGTAGAAACAAGAATAAATTTTAAAAATAAAATTTTAGATTAAATACAAACAAACAAAACTTAAAAATATGTACTTGACCAAAATGTTTATTTTTTTTTTTTAAATTAAACAAATGTGCCAAAAATATGAAATAGCAACATGCGTAGTCAATTTGTGAGGGTAAATTACATGAATCATTCCTCGTGCAAGTGTCAAAAAGCACGTTTAATTCATATTTTCAAAAATTAATTCGGACCGTCCCTTGTTTGGTTTAACCTTGCATGCTTCATCCCTGAAAGACGATTTTGTTGCAAACTTAGTCTATGCCAAAACTGAAATGACAATAATACCCTTGATTTTTTATCTTTCAATTAATTTGATATTTTTATTATTATTTTCAATTTAAAAAACAGGGCTCACTATACCATGAATTTTTTACCAAATGGGTGTTTTTTAAAAACTTATTTACCAAACAAGTGTAGTTTTAAACATATTTACCATTTAGGGTTATACCAAATAAAAAAAAATAACAAAAAGAAAAAAAAAACGTAAGACTCAATCACAGAGACCAGTCGACGTTCTATACCCCAAAGTCCGTCTTCAATCGAACACTTCTATCGTCATTCGATTTCGGCCATAGCCGACACCGACGGCTCCGATTCCGAACACAAACGGACGCCGGCGACTTGATTCCGGCGAGTACTCCCTTGCAGAAGACGACAGGGACCTGATTCTTCTTCGATTTTGGCCATAGTCGACGTTGGTGAATCCGATTCTAGCCACAACAAACTCGGTTGTAGCTTGATTTCATTGTAAGTCCGAATCCTCTATTGAATTTTGATTTCAGCTTGTTAGTTTTGGATTGATTCCAACTACTATTTGCTATTCCATTCTACTGTATTTGCTTATTTGCAAACTCTTAGATTACATGAAACTAATTTCCAGGATGTATATTAAAATCTACAAGTAAAAGATTTTCAATTCTTTATTTAAACTGTATGAATCTTGATTCAATTCCTTATCAATTACAATGTTGACAAATTTACCCTTGTATCCTATTTCCAACTTATACGTTTGCTTGGAATTAAAAAACAATCAAATTAATAGCAATATGCCAATATCTCTTCTACACAATTCTAATTTTTTTAAATCAATGCTGAATATGTCTATTGTTCCAACAATAATACATGGTTTTTAGTTCATACTTGGTGTTGCCAATTGTGGCTCATACTTTATTATAAATGATAAACAACTTTTCTGTGATTTTTAATGGTTATTACTTCATCGTGACTGATATTGTGGCTACTGCTTCTTTTTCTTCTTCTTTTTTTTTTTTTTTTTTTTTTTTTTTTTTTTTTTTTTGATTCATTTTGGTTATTGCTTATTTGCAATTGTAATTCCACAGTTTCTTTTTTTTTGTTTGCTTCAACATTCATATTTTGGAGCAATTTTATGATTGAATTTATGTTTTGTTGTAGATGGTGGTTGTTACAATGCTTTGTTATTAGGGTGGGACAACTTGTGATGGACCAGATGGTATAAATTATAGCAAAGCTCCAAAAAAAGCAATAAATGTTAACTGTAGAATACAATTTGATGAACTGGTTGACCGTATATATCTTGCTACATCTTTTGATAAACAACACCACCACATCAACTTAATTTGTAGATATCCATCGGTTGGTATTGGAAATGTTGTAAAATACATTCCTCTTCCTATCAAAGATAATGATGATGTTGGCATCATGTTTGATGTGCTTCGTGTCCATCAAGAAGTAAGTAACATTGATCTCTATTTAGAGGTTGAAGACATTGATCAAATTCGACACATAGAGATGGAATCTAGGTATAATCATTTGTGGTTTACACGATTTACAAGTTTCAACTTATTTTGTAATATTTGTAGCAGAAATCATGAACCGGCTGTGCTAGAAGAGCAAAGGAACAACGAGTTACTATTACCTAATACAAACCATGTTAATGCCATATCAGATATGATTCATAATGAAGATTTCTACACAATTTCTCAAGCTGCTGTTATGAGTAATGGAATAATTAGTGATAATGAAATTGATGAAGAATATGACATAGGAGAAGAATATGATGAAGATGATGGAGTTGACATCACTCAAGAACATGAACCACCACATGTAGATCGGGGTGACACATCTTTTGACAACAACCATCAAGTACCATCAACTTTTACCAATATAGAAGAAACAAATGTGATTAGTGATGGTAATTGGACTGTGTCACAATCAATAAGCAAGAATGATTTTACACGGGAGCTGGAAAAAGATTCTTTCAAGGATAAAGAAGAACTTATGAGAGCTATCAAGCTCCAATGCATTAAGACACATAGACAATTTGAGGTCATTGAGACACGCCCAACTCTATGGAGCATAAGATGCAAGTTGCATTTACAATCTGGTTGTAAATGGCAACTTCGTGCAAGTAAACGAAAACGGAGTGGAAATTTTGAAATTACAAAGTACATTGGTCCATATACTTGTTTAAACAACAATATTTCTTTAGACCATACAAACCTAGATGCAAGCTTGATCGCTCAGGAAACCAAACACCTTATAAAAGAGCAACCTTCTATTGGTGTTCCTGCTTTGAGAGCCGAAATAGTTGATAAATTAGGCTATACTCCTTCATACAAAAAGCTTTGGGCTGGAAAGCAGAAGGCAATCGAACAAGTGTTTGGAAATTGGGAAGAGTCTTATGCTCCTTTACCAAAATTTTTGGGTGCACTTCAGAAGTTCAATCCAGGGACTATAGTCGAGTGGTGTGTTTCAAGATCAACCGATACGGAACATGTGGAGTTTAGACGTGTTTTCTGGGCTTTTGTTCTTTCTATTAAGGGGTTTGCACATTGTCGACCTGTGATTAGTATTGATGGCACACACTTGTATGGTAAGTACACGGGAAAGATGTTGATTGCAATGGGAGTTGATGGTAATAATCAGATTTTGCCACTTGCATTTGCTATTGTAGAAAATGAATCATATGATAGTTGGAATTGGTTTCTTTCTTATATCAAGAGTCATGTGGTGAAAGAGCGTGAAGACATTTGTTTAATATCTGATCATCATTTAGGAATCCTAAAGGTAGTCAATGAGCATGGATCTCCATGGTTAGAGCCACGTGGTTTTCATAGGTATTATTACTATTTTTTGTATAACTTTTTTCATAGTTATTATTTATAAGTAACATTAATTTGTTTACTCTATAGGTATTGTTTACGACATTTTATCAACAACTTTAATGACAAGTTTCGCAATTCAGAATTGAAAGCTTTAGCTTATCGTGCCGGGAGTCAGAATCAAGTTCGAAAATTCAACTCTATCATGGAAGAAATTGGGAAGCTAAATCCACAAGCTCGACAGTGGCTAGAGAGACATCCACTTGATAGATGGACACTTGCACATGATGGTGGGAGGAGATATGGGCTTCTTACAACAAATTTGTCAGAGATTTTTAACAGTGTACTTAAAGGTGCTCGTTTTTTACCAATCACAGCTTGTGTCCAACTTACTTTCTATAGATTGGTACATTATTTTGAAGTGAGACGTCCGTTAGGATCTAGTGCCCAGGCTAATGGAGATGCATATACTCCTCAAGTTATTGTAAAACAAGTGGCTTTGATGTCAAAAGCAAGTGCACACTCATTGAGATCTTTTAATCGAGAGAAAGGTATATTTGAGTTGATAACTCAAAGAGGAAAAAATGTGCAAGTAGTTAATTTGGACAAAAAAACTTGTACATGTGGTTAGTGGGAGATATTTAAATATCCATGTTCTCATGTTTTGAGTGTATGTGCCAAACTATCCTTGAATAGTTGGCAATATGTTCATAAATGTTACTCCATTGCAGAGTATTGTTTTACTTGGGCATCCGAGTTTTCCCCACTTCCTCATGAAGCGTATTGGCCACAATCTTCATCTAGACAATTGCTTCCAAATTTAAAGCTTTTACGGAATAAAAAAGGTCGTTCTCGCTCAACAAGACTACGAAATGGAATGGACATCAAAGAAGGAAAAAATGGATACCTTTGTGGGATTTGTAGACAAAGTGGTCATAATTGGAAAAAAATGTCCCTCTAAACCAAGGGGAATGCAGAGACATTAAAGCTAATTGGTCAATCAATAGACATATTTATTTTTTCATTCTGTTTTTGTAAGAAGTCGTTATTGGATTTGTACCCAAAAAATATATCGTGCGTTTGATGTTTACTTTAATCTACGATGTGTAACATTATTGTTTTTATCAATTAATCTTATTTACAATTAAGGAAATTTTTTGAGATTTCATTAATTTGTTATGATGCTTAAATGAGATATAATACATTTGGAATTTTTTTATGTAAGTTAATAGCAAATGGTTAAAAAAATGTCAAAAGTTATATTAAAAAACACTAAAAGTTAAAAAATATATATATATATATATATATTAGAAAAGTTAAAAAAAACTGTTTTGGTAAATATTTTGACTACTATGCTGTTTTGGTAAATATATTTGAAACGGTAAATATTTTTTTCAACCACACCCATTTGGTAAAAAAAACTCCTATACCATCCCCTCATCACTTTCCCCGCCCTTACATTTTTACTGATCAGAAACAAACAGGCACACACTCGATGAAAGGGAAAAATGAAACACAGCTGGTCGGTACGTCACCAACAAGTCACAACCATCATCACTGCATCCATCCTCCGGTGAACCTTATCTCTTCATCTATCATCGTATCTAACCAACTCCCTCACTTCCAACAATGTTTGGGGTCATCACCTCGCCGGAGAAGGTTGACTTTGTAGAGCCGCCTTCACCACCGTAGATTGGCACCGAAATCACTTATGTTGTGAGTTGTCATTTCCATTGTATCTCTACACTGAAGCCCTAATGTTGTCTAAAACCCTAATTATCACCGCCTCTATTTGAAAGCATATAGATATAACATAGTGGCTATGTATTTATGTGATGGTGGTGACTATGACTCTTCCAGATGTACATTAGAAAAGATGAAGGGATACATCGACTATCTAGGGTTTGTTTTTGATACTTCATATGGTGATGATGATTTAGGGCTACACTGAAAAAGTTCTTCCTTTTCAATTTGGGGTTTGCCGATCTATTCTTCCTTTTCAGTCTAGATTCACCAGAAAAGTTGGAGATCTGAGAGATAAAGGGGAACAAAAGAAAAAAGGAGAAGAGATAGAGGGTTGTTAGAGTCTTAAGAGTCTCGCTGGAGATGACTTCCACTCGCCAGAGTATTGGAGCTGGTGGCTTCTTCCGGTAAACATAAAAAATCAAACCGTCGTGGTGGTGCTTGTACTCGACAGTAGTGATGGTTGTGTTGATCAATGGAAATAGTGAAAGAACCATATATTTAGTTAAACCATTTCATTTACTAGATTAATAGTTAATAATTAATAAATAAATCAAAAATGAAATAAATATGGGCAAAATGGTCTTTTTATGCCTGGAGGGATGAAGTGTGTAACTTGTTAACAAACGAGGGACGATTCAAGTTATTTTTGAAATTAAGGATTAAACACGTTTTATGACATATACACGAGGGACGATTGGTGTAATTTAGTAGCCAAATATGAGTATTCCTAAACATGAGGAGATTTAAAATAGCATACTAATATTCAAACAAAATGTCAAAAGAATATAAAAGAACAAAGCATCAAACATGTTTTTTTATGTTAAACAATATCTTCAAACAAAATGTCAAAAAAATATTTTTAAATCATAAAAAAAACTAAATAAATAAATTAAATAAAAAAACAAGGTTAATAAAAGAAAATAATAAATACGCTAGTATATATTAAAAGAAAATAAAAAAGACATAATAATTACGTAATCACTAGTTATTTAAATAAAAAAATAAAATGTAATTATTAGGAAGAGATTGCCTAAAAAGACACTCTATTTTTCCATTTAGACACCCTATTTGATTTTTAAGATTTTTTTATTGGTTGAATTTGCATTGTTTATCCAAAAAGTAAAATATAAATAGTTTAGGATTGGTTAAATTTTAACAAAAGTATTCATAGGGTGTCTAAATGGTATCAATTTAGCAACACTGTGACAACCTAAAATTTCTTTTTGTTCAACCATTCAAAATCAATCAAGTTAGATTCATTTCTGCTATTGTTTAGCATTGTTGGGGTCTATTTGGGTATTCTAATATCAGTACAATCAATGTTTAGATTCAGGGATGAGTTATTATGAGTCATAGGATAACATTCGGGCCAAACACTCCTTCAAGAGGAGTGTACGGCCGTAAACATGAGTTTACGGCCGTACATCCCCCACCCCTCATGGCCGAAAACTCCCCCTGTATAAGGGGTACTTAGCCATCATTCACCACTTTACACACTTCAAGTCTAGAGCTTTCTTTCTCTCTCTCTCTCTCTCTCTCTCTCTCTTTCTCTCTCTCTCTCTTCTCTCTCTCTCTCTCTC